TACAATCTTTTCAATGGCGTTTGAAAAAGTAGCAGAGAATTCAACATGGATGGGGTGACTGACAAATGAATTGTAGTCTTCTTTGCTGTCAAAACTGGTCAAGAAAGCATGGGTGTGTCCCTGCCTAAGTGCATCATGGCTATCAGTGTCCTTCCCCCTGCAACGCATCCATTATAATTATTTAATTCATTCAAAATCAATAATATTTACTTTAGGTTTATAAATGGTATATATTTTCATATATATATATATATATATACACACGCAGACACACATATAATTTCTAGCTTTGTTTTCTTATAATATTATATTGTTGGGGTTAAAATGGGTGACGATTAAAATGACAAATTTAACAGAGATTTTATTGCACAGAGCACAAGGATTTCTTTTTTTGGTGAAAATATTTTTAAAAGTTTACAATTATTAGTTCAGCTGGTTAGAGATAATAAAGATTTTTATTAAAAATATAAAAATAACCTAAAAATGAAATTGAAAATAAAAAGTAATTTGAAATTTTGTTAGAGATTATAGAATTTTAAAAAGATTATTTTTTTGTTTTAATTTAAATATTTTCTTTAATTAATATGTTATAGAGAAACAGTGAATTTATAAATTACATATTATAAGATAATTTAATTTAATTTTTAATTCCTTTCACTCGAGACATTTGGTTAGTAATCTTCGTTTTAATATCAACCGACTTTATTTTATTGACTAAATTATTCATATCTAATTGATACTTGTAATTTTATTCAGGTGGAGGTAGATATTTAAGCTGTATATTATATGTGGGGAGATTATGATTTGTTTAGTATATTACCATCAGTATGTAAATATCAAAACATAATTCTCACTTAGATTACACTAATCTTTATTAGTACAAGATTTAGACAAAAGATAACTTGACATATTTCTTTTGTAATTGATCAGAAAGATTTAGGATAATAAGAAATTAAGGGAAAGAAAGACTAACCATTCAAAGGATTTGACATAATCAATCTCTGAAACCAATTTCTGAAGGCCTTTCAAAATCTCTTCTTCATTCACACCATCTTTGAACTTAATAACCACTAAATGCTTGAACCCACCTCCTCCTCCTCCTCCTGTTCCTGCCATTTTCTTCTTCACCACACACTTGAAATTGATGATGACTCGGTTTAGGACTCTGAATTTACTTATATACAAAAAAAAAAAAAAAAAAAAAAAAAAAAAGAAAGAAGAAAGAATATATATATATATGAATATTATTTGAATGTCACCCATCCATCATCAAAATTCATCTTTTGTTAGACAGAATCTGCAGCTAAATATATGGAAATGAGTGTTGACACCCACTACTCACCACCTTCATTGTCTCTTCCCTTTTGTCCTCACTTCTTCCTTTTGCACATGAGTGGGGTAGTTTATTTATTTACTTTTTTTTACACACACAAGTATATAACAATCCAACTCCCACTCTAATCTCCATCTTCTGTTTTTACCTTCATTATTTTTTATATGATTAATCAATATTTTTTCAACTTATGAAACTATAATGTACTTAATTGCAACATCCTTTTTTTTTTTTTTTTTTTTTTTGTAAAACCCAATACTTTTTTCTTTAGTAAAATAAATTTAGAATTTAAACTCAAATACTAGTTTCTATACTTTTTGAATGTTTGTTAGCACTTTACAACTTGGTATATTTTCTCACCAGTTAAGATCACTAAATTTAAAATTTAGGTTACAAAATTTTTAAGGCAATTCTATACAACCCCACTAAGTGAAAAAAGTATGTCCTTTAAATCCAAGACGGGCATCATACTGATCTTCTAAAGAAAGAATACTAAAAGAATTGCTTACTTAAAAGATGAGTAATCCAAATTAGTAATGCAATTCAAACCCCACACATACACAATTAGCTCATAAATATATATGCTCCAAATAAATAAATCATATGTAACTTATTTCGCATCAGTGGATGTTTCTAGTTTATACTATGAGTTTTAAAAGTATTTTTAAAGCAATTATTTACTAAAACCTATTTAAGTTTAAAGTTGGTAGAACAATTGTATAAATTATTATCATTAATAAAAAAAATAGAAACTACGTATCTGGTGAAATTAACTTTTAATATTGTAAGTATAAATGTTTACTGAAAAATTATATATTATAACTTTTTTTAAAAAAAAAAAAAATTGTTATTGGTTTTAACTTTTACCGAATAATTAAAATCAAGGAACTAAGGTAATTGGTTTGTTGTAAATTAGCTTCGTGGGTTTAAATCTGTTTGAAGAGGCGTCAAAAGTCAAATCCTTGGATGAACAAGTTGAGATAATTATTGTACTTTTGAGTCATTGAAAAAACTTAATGGTCAATTTTAGTTGATATAACTACTAATCACGTAGCTAATTAGCATACTACCAACAAAGAAAAAGCTAAATCATGACTTAATAATCTCTCTAATTTGTTATTTTGCTTCCTCAAAATCTAAGCAAATCTTTTGAATTTGTCCAAAGCAAAATACTTACAAGACACATATGGAGAAAACTTAAATTTAAATTTACATGTACGTATAATAATTACACATTTCTTAAATAGAGTACGAATTATACAACTTTCTAATAAACAATACATTACCTGTAGTTCAAACTTACACTCAAGTAAAGATGTAAAAAATACCCACTATCCATCAAATTGATCAATACCATAAACAATATATATATATATATATATATATAATTTGAAAATAAATCTATAAATTTATAATTAGAACCTATCATGTATATGTATAACTTTTTCATCACCACATCCATCCATCCATCATTATCTGAGAAAAGGGTGTCTACTGTTTAAAGATTCCTTAAAGATAAGTGGTGGTCATAAATCATCCATGACCCAAATTTCTAATAATTACATAACCTTGGAGCACATGGGAAGGTACGTCAAACAAATTCCAGCATTTAGCAATTAAGGATTTTTGCAATCTCTATACATATGGAGAGCCTAAGGGGAACATAAATAAATAAATCTCCAATTTTACACATTAATTTCTATTCTATTTTACGCTATATTACATTTTAAAAAAAAATAAAATATAAAAAAAAGAAATCATTTTTCTCAGTTTTGGATGTGGGCTAATTTTTATATTTCTTTAATTTCAAATTCAAATCATATAAAATTTTGTCAATCATAATCACAAAAATATATATTTTACATGCTTATCACATATATATTGATGTTGTGAAAGAAGAAAAATACCCAGAGTTATTATTAAAAAAAATAATTAAAAAAGTTCTCTATTTCCCTTAGTAGAAATAGAGTTTTATCATATCTACCTCAGAAGTATGTTTTTTTTAGGCAAAATTAAAATTTATATTTAGCTTTTAATAAATATGAAATCAAAAGTTATGAATAAATATTTTAAAAATAAATAATATTTTTAATTGAGTTATTTATTAATTTTATGTCTTATTAATTTGTTAACTTAATGGTTTTATTAAAATTAGAATATAATATTACTTTAGTATCAACAGGTTTATATTAATGAATTATTATAAACTGTTTCAATGTTTTTATTTGAAGTTAAGTAATAAGGATTTAAAACTAATATTTATATTTAATTTTATTTAAATATTTTAAATAAAATGATATACTGTATTTTATTATATGTTTGATTCTAAATTTAACTTTTACTTCTTTAATGTTTAGGTCTCCAAAAATTGGGACAGGCTTGGATTGTCCTTTTTTTTTTTTTTTTTTATATTTAATTTAGACCCAACTCAGATAATAATATTAATATATTCTTCATAAATTTATTTTAATATTTTATTTTAAACACTTTTTTTTTTTGGATAAATGTACGACTCTTTTTAATTTTAATTTTGAATTTCTTTTATTTAAGCTCTCAGCTCGGACTGATCTTCACGATATAACAATTTTAAACTTATATGCTGACTCGATATTCTTCGTAAATTTAACTTAAATTTTTAGTTTAATGTTTTATTTTAAACACTTAATTGTAATTTAAAACTTTTTTTTATTTTGATTTTTTTAAAAAATAATATAGTATATCACCGTTTGTATTGCTTTTTTGTCTTTTAAAAATTAAGGAATATTTAATATTTATTTTATACAACGTACATACATATATTTTTTAATTTTTTTAAAAGAAAAATATAGGTGAAATAATGTGTCCAGGCTAAGTTCATACTTGATAATAGGCCTGTAACATTACATGTGATTGTGCATCAAACTATGTCCATACTTGGATTTTAACCAACTGAACCAACTTTGGGGACTAGTTTTGGCATTTATTTTTTTCATAATTCGGTTTCAAGATCTTCAGTTTAATCCAATTTTCTACTGATATGCACCCCTAAATGTAGCTTATATCTC